AAGAAAGAAAGAAAGAAAGAAAGAAAGAAAGAAAGAAAGAAAGAAAGAAAGAAAGAGAAAGAAAGAAGGCAAGGGGAGAAAGAAGACTCAGAGAGAGTGAGTGACTTACCCAAGGACACACAGAAGTACATGACAACATCAGGATATAAACCCACGTGTGCCCAGTTCTGAGAGTCTGCCTGAAATCATGGTGCAAAAATGCTCTCTCATACAGATGGGGAGGTGTGGGAATGGGTTCTATTTCATTTACAAGGAATAGTTATAAACCTGGAGAAAATAAACCACTACTTTATGCTTCAAAAGTCTTTAGAGAACGAAAGAGGAGTGATTTGGTAAAGACCAAGCCACCAGTCTTACCCCAGGCGGTCTCTGGCCTTCCACCAGTGAGGATTATACTTCTCCAGTATCAGGTACTCCTCTGCTCTCTTTAACGCTAAATCATAGGGCTCTCTGGGCAGATAATCATACAGTGCCTTGACTTGGATCCTCTCTTCAGCAACCTCAGATGGCGGGAGGGGAGGCAGCGGCTTGCGTTTTGATGGTTGCACACGGCCACTGTTGGACTGTAAGAACTAAGGAGTGAGTCGCTGTACTTTGTTTCAGTAATCTGTACTAAATAAGAAGAGGCATATATAGGCTGTTTGCCTGCTGCTTCATTCTCCTACCCAACTGCACCAAAACAGAAGCCAGGGCGGGATAAACGTAGGAAATTACTAACTCTAAAACAGCCTTTCAGTCCAGCCACACACTCATCATTCTGTAAACTCTCAAGATCACAAATTCTCTTGCCAGCATTGCATTGATTCTTTTTTCATCTCACAATTCTTAAAATTTTATCTCCTTAATAGTTACACTTTAAGGACTTTCCTCTCTTGGAAACAGAAAAACAGCTCTTCCCTTCCATGTACTGTAAGCTTGTGTTTCGGTTTATCACACTTCCCAAGAAAATGGATTCTCCAACACTGAACAGAAAATTACTCCTGGCTTCAAAATGGCAGTAGCCAGAATATATTTTTTTTCCTATTTCCAGTTCTGCCAAAATGTAGGAGAGCAGGCTATTTTAACTGGCCTTTTTTTCTTTCACTTTTTTCTAGGACATTGATTTACTAAATGTTTTTTCATAGCTTATTATGTGCTAAGCATGATACTAGGTTCCAGGCAGTGCAGCAAACAGTACCTCATGAAGCACAGACCCTAAAAATGCCACCTTCCTCTAGCCCTTCTGCCTCATCAAAACGATACTCACTTGCTTCTTACTTGGCAATCCACTGAACCACGGTCTGCGATGTTCCGTGTATTTTTCGGAAAGTTCTTCATCCTTGCTCAGGCTTATTTGTGTCCTCACTTGTCTGACATTGAAGAGTAATCATGTCACAAATGATCATTTGGACCCAAATTGTCTGTAAATCTACTAGATTATCACAAACTAGTGGGAAAATCTCCTTCCTATTGCTTTTTTATTTAGAAGACTTCCTAACTCCATTTCCTTGGGCAAGTTACTATCTTTCAGAACTTCATTTTTCTTATCTGGGAACTAGAGATGCTAAGAGTATATATACAAAGTTGTTATGAAATAAAATTAAGAAAACACATGTCACATGCCCAGTCCAGAATCTGGGGCATATTAGGGGCATAAAACTATAATCATGAAGTGAAGACCTTCCTTTGTGTCAGACACAGTGTTGATCATTTTACAGGCATCACCTCATTTGATGGTATCTACTGTTTCAAGTGGGCACGGTGGAGTGATTAAGAACATGAGTTTGAATCCCAGATCTAGCATTTCATGGTGTGGCCTTGGGTAAGCAATGTCACCTCTCTAAGCTTCAATTTCTCCACCTGTGTAACGGGGATTGTAAAAAAAAAAGCATGGGTGGTTTCGAGAGTTACTTGAGCTAGAAAACGCAAACTTCCTAGCACAGTCTGACACATAAGACATTCCCACTCAATGCTGACTGATACTGCCATCACGGCGCCCTGGATTTTATCCTTATACATCCTTTGCTGGGCACCAAAGTGCAAAACACACTGATGGTTTTGGGGAGATACTCAAATGCATAAGGCAGGATTCTTGCCCTTAAAGGGTAATAATTACAGAGTGAAACACAGACATAAGCAGCATCCATGAACTAAATATGAAATAAAGAACCAAGCTGCATGCTTTGAACCACACCACAGAAGGAGCAGTTAAATCCAAGAGGATCAAGGAAGGATCACAGACCTGACACTCTGACCTATCGCTAGCTTTAAATGAATGTGCATTCAACAGCAAGAAAATGGGAAGGGTATAGCTCAGTGGTAGAGTGCGTGCTTATCATGCACAAGGTCCTGGGCTCAAGCCCCAGTACCTCCATTAAAAATAATAATAAACAAATAAATAAACTTAACTATCTCCCCCTGCCAAGGGAGAAAAAAAAGAAAACAGGGAGAAAATGGGAGACAGGTTTCCCAGGCAAAGGGAACAGCAGATACAAAGAGACATGGAGACCTGACAGACAAAGAAACGGAATGAATTAATTTCCAAGGAGTTGCCCTCGGAAACAGACTTACCGCTTCTGCACGGAACAGCAACAGCAGCAACAGAAAATTGACTGGATGGTATTATCTGAAAAGCAGATCATTCTCAACCATTAGAAATCATGAGTCCATGACATTGGATAGATGA